AAAGCTCCGTCTCCGGCGCTGAGATGGGTTTAGCCGCCGCCAACCCGCTCCGCGCAGCCGAGCCGCGCAAGCCGCCCACGCCGGAAAGCTCCGGCAACGAACCCACGGCGGGGCACGGGATTTATGCAGGCTGCGCTTGATCTGATAAAGAAAATCAAAGACATGCTCGCGCTGTTTTCCCCGTCTAGAAATAACCTTCCTCCAGGACATGGCAGGGTAGCTAGAAGACATTGTTTTCTCTGTTCTGAGGGGTCTTTAATCAAATAGGAAAAAAATTTTACATCTGATTTTATTCTCCCGCAAATTAAATTTAAATTAATGTTGCGAATTAATTTTGGTTTTTAAATATTTGGGGGTATTTTTTTTCCTCCCGCTGGGGAAAAAAAAATCCCTCGATTGACGCTGTAAACCAGAATTATTAGAAAATAACCTGAAGGTCACAACAACCCCCTGGCTAATGCAAACAGAAATCAACTTTGTGGGAAAAAAAATTAAAAATAAATCCACGGCTTCCTTGCTAAACCATAGAAAATAGACATTTTATTTAGGCATATATTTGCATGCATTGGTTAAATCAAAATCAGCTGAGCTGCAGCCACCTCTATATTTGGCCGATAACATTTCCATTTGATTTAATTGCACATGTCTAATATTTAAAGGTATAAAACCATGTTTCCCTGCTTACAGTAGTGTCATATACATTTCTCACCTTTTAGGTTCTGGCTCACAGGAGCCCCTGCGACTTTGACAGCTGTCGCTTTGGCTGCACAGGAGACGAATCGCCCTCCTTTTGGTGCCAGAAGAAGCAGGAAATTAGCCAGGTTGCAAGTTGAAAATCTGCCACGCCAGTGCTTTGAATCCAATATGCCACACCTTCCAGTGGGGGAACTGGAAATTGCCATCCCGGATCTGTGTTCTAGGCGGCTGCTTATGCCGAACCTCCGCACACTTTGTTCACTATTGCCTTACAAAGAACAAATGAAATGGGGATTGAAAGCCAGAGAGATCCGAAGCAGGACAGAGCTCAGCAAAAGAATGCGGCTCTATTCTCGCAAGGGAAATTATAAAAAAGTTCATGTTCACGGTTACCATCCACATGACCGACAACGACCAATGGAAAAACCGAACAACTCATAAAGTTGTATTGCAAAGTTGTAAATTTTCATAAACAACAACGGATTTATGGCCTTTTCCTCATCACTAAGAAGAGGCAGGTCTTAGAGAGGCGCCATCTTACCACAGAGGCAGCCCTGGAGTTTTTTAAAAGACCTGGAGTTTGTACTAATTTTACTAAAATTGCAATTAATACGTTGACCAGGAATGGAGTGTAGCAGAAAAAAGGGAACTTCAGCGCAAATTATGCTCCGGTTCTACCTGTATTTACCCAACCGAATAAAGGGGCTTTTCGGGCGAGATTTTTTATTTTTAATTTTATTTTTTTTTAAATTGTGAAAAATATTAGATCTCCTTCACATAACGTGGTACCTGGCAAAAACGAGACCTTTTCTAAAGCGAGGCGATTTTTCCCCTTTTTCGTGCCCCCATTATGTCCTCCGCCCCCCGAAAACCGCACTCGCAAACCCCACACGTTCCCGATCATGTTATTTACACTTGGAAGTTTCGCATCGCACTTTCTGTTCATTACAAAATATTATTTCACTGTATGCGATTTCGGCTTGATCGCCGATCGCCTGGACCGGGGTAATAACTGCAAGAGGACACGGGAACACGGTGGAAGGAAGCCCTCCCATAAAGAAGGCTTTCCGCTTTATTAATCAACTGCGCTAGGGAAAAAAAAAAAAATCACGAAGTGGAGATAGAGAAATTGACTGATTCATATCAATTCATCATCTTGGATTTTTTTTCTCTTCTGATTAGCGGGAAAAAATGTTTAGATGGTCTAATTTCTTTATATGTCTATGTAAATTATTTTTGATGCTTCCTTCGAACTGCTTCCTTAATAAAGAAACACAATTCATTGTCAACAAGCATATTTATTTTCTGTGTAACATAAAACACATTTATCGTGGGAGATAATTGAACACGGTATCACTTCCAAAGAGAGTTCACAGACATGTTTTTTCCCACTTCCAATACTTACACGGCATATCCAAATGTTCACAACGAACACATCGAAACACATTGTAACATACAATTTTTGAATAAACTTTCGCCAAACCTTCGAGACTGATTTATACAGAGTTCTTAACAATACATCATGCTACAAAGTTTCCAAATTAATTACATTCTTCCCAATTTATGACATGATCTTACAAATGAGCTCCAAGACGAATATAAATGACAAAAAAAATACAGTATTTGCTATTGTAGGAAAATTCACGGTATTACATATTAACACGTTCGGATAATCAGAACAAACAGTTTGTGGGGTTTGGGTTTTTTTCTTTTAAAGGTGGTTACAAGGTCATTTAAATTCACTTTTCAAAGAACACTTTCCGCTATATTAAGTAAGATCAACCTAGAATAAGAAAACGGCCTTTAGCAGAGGCAGCCGAAGGTAGAAGCCAACGGGAGATACTAAACCGCTTTGTACAATATTGGTGTGTTTGCTTCCTCACTCGGAATAGTAGAGAATCGAGAACAAAGATATATTGCAGCATATGGTTTTAATTTATAATTGCTTTGGAATAAATATATTATTTTAATTTTAAATATATTCAGACTTCTCGGTACCAAATTCCATACCAAAGCTATTGATGCGTGCTTTTCGAAGGACTACACTTACATTTCTAAAAGCATTTTGCAATTCACATTAGTAATCTTGAAACATCCATTTGACTACTAAAATACAGTATACTTTCGAAGATAGGTAGGCAGAGCAAGATATATAGGTAGGTAGTCTGGAAAATAGGTAGTACAAGTAATTGCTGTAGATTGTAGTGGTTTGTGGAACATTTTTTTTTCCCCTTGCTGTTTAACCTTTTGTTAGTGTGGCTGTTAGTTATGATACTTTTCTATCAACAATTCAAAAAAAAAAAAAAGAAGAAAACAAAAAGAGAAGTGCAGAGCTACTTATTAAAAATTAGGTAGTTTTTCTTAATGTAAGCCTAATGCACTTTTCCCCTTACAAATGATTTGGACTATTGAGTCAGGTAGTTACTTCGGAAGGTCATGGTTTACTATCTGTGCAAGCAGCAGTTCTCCCACTGAAATGTCCCCTGGAGAAACCCACTCAGGTTTGGGTAAATGAAAAAAAAATCCCAACAAACACATGATTGTAGGATGCTCTTAGAAGATATTACTGAAAGGTTTGGCACAGGGCAGGTTTGGGGAGTACGGGAGAGTGAAAAGAAGGCTGGAAAACCACCCCAAGAAATGTTTTCATGTTTGCAAACACTCGCTTGCAAGATGATTATTAAAGGGAACTGATTTTTTAAAAATAAAAACAGTGAGTCTCTCTCCTTTTTTTGTGGGTTTTTTTTTTCCTTTAAAGGGAGCTTTTCCAACTGTCATGTGCATACACTATTCTAAGAGATCACTTCCTCGAGTGGGACTCTTTAGTCCTCCTCCTCTTCGTCTTCCACTTTCTCGACAGAGGCTGCTGCTGACGTGGGCTCGTTGGGAGCCGGGGTGCTGGAACTCTCCTCCTTGTGCTCCTTCTTCCATTTCATCCTCCGATTCTGGAACCAGATTTTGATCTGCCTCTCCGTCAGGCAGAGGGCATGGGCGATCTCTATCCTTCGCCGCCGAGTCAGATAACGATTGAAGTGGAATTCCTTCTCCAGCTCCAGGGTCTGGTAGCGGGTGTAGGTCTGGCGCCCTCGCTTCCTATCTGGACCTGAAAACAGGCACATACACGCCCAGGAGTCAGGCAAGAAGAGAGATGGAAGTTTCCTCTTTTTACTTTTCTTATAATTGTTTTTAATAAATAAATAAATAAACAAATAAACAGAAAGCGGCCGAGCCAGACGGAACGATCCCC